TCGTCCGCTAAGGGTTAATTGTCATCTATTCTTCTATCGCAGTTGCCTCCGTCCGAGATAGTTTTTACAAACATTGACAATGACGGAAACATTCCGAAACATTCCGGACAACCGCTGTCCGTTGCTCGGAAGAAGTCGACTGAGACGCGATCAGCTTGCGGGTCTTCTCGTTCACCGATAGAAGAGAGTTTCGGGAGGTCACAGAAAAATGGGGACTACGGGCGTGTGCAGGTCAAGCGGAGCGAGCGGAATGCCTCCCTTGCCCCTCTGACGAAACGACAGACTTCTGAGCCAACGGGCTGTACATAGTTCGCAGGTAGTTCGGAGGCAACTGCGGTAGAAAAATAGACGGCAACTAAATCTTTCACGAAGACGAACAAACTTTAAAGTCGATTTTCTCAGAAACGGAGCGCCGGATAAAAAAATGTTATAGCAAATTTTCTTCTTATTTTTCCACGCAGGATCAGCTACTGCTTGGTTGTGCGACGAATTCGGATCCACCTTGTATAGAGCTAAATGCTTAGCGCTGCGTTCTAAACTCGAGAAGGTGCTGCGAATACGTCGATAGGCGATCGTTTTGCGAGACATCCTCGATACTGATTGTATTCTTCCACGTTGTATTAAACCAAGTTATTATTACTATTTTATTAATTAAGCGGGCTAAATTACTTTTTAGATTGCATGCTATAATACAAAACAGGGTTAGGAATCATTTGAATTATTTCGAATATAAATATTCATCTAAAATAATTATCCCAATGAATTCCTTTAAATCGAGTACATCTCTTGTTCGAACAACGATTATTCGTTATTCGTCGTAAATTATTCTATCCATTTATTCGGGATTATACATATATACATATATTCCGGAATAAGGGTTATACATTATTCGTCATCAATTATTTCGCCCTAAATAATTATTCTTGAATGTTTCTGTCTTCGCATGATTCCATTGGAATATATTTACACTAATGAAATTATAAAATTTGGAGAAAGAAATATGGAAGAAATATGTCGACGAACTATGGAAAAGAACACTTTGTGTTTTATCGTTTTTATCGAAATCGATTATTTTCCGTATGAATTTCTGTACAAATAAATTCTTATTCGAATAAAATCTTATTCGGATACATTTTTACACTTTATAATTAATCGAGCATTGTGTTCGAGTAAAATAAAATATAAATAATAAACTAAAGTAAATAAATAAAACAGAAAATAAGATAAGGCCAGCTAAATAATAACTTGGGCGGCTGGGCGAAAGAATATCTGCGTCGAATACGCTCAGCTCCATTAGCTTATTCCGGTCTATTCCACGATCCATCCGGATCGGTTGGTGGCGTCGCGCGAGGAGCGTCGAACCGTCGTACAATTTCTGGAATCTGTCAAACGTGCGACGCGCTCGAATTGAGCCGCGGACCACCAACCTCTCTGCTGTCTTATCGTACCTCGCGCCAAGGCTTAACTCTTATCGTTATCTTGGCATTGCGGTGTTGGAAGCAGTTGCTACTGTGTTACCGATGCTCTATATTTAGATATTACGATCGGCCGGGATCGCTTTAGAACCCGGTCCCGAGGAAAGAAAACGCAGAAAACGATTGGTAGAGATCCCGGCGACGTCGACGACGACGACGACGACGACGCATCTTCATCGCGGCTGTCCAACGGCCGCGCGAACAGGTTGCCGTTTCTTTATATTTCCTGGACACCTGATCGCAAATGACTTTCGTGCCGTTCACGATCGGCAATCGGAGCCGCGAATCCTCCGCGATGATCGTTGCCACTGTTTCACTCTAGCGGCCGAACACGTGGCAAACTATCGGTAAACTGGTTTCTTGCTCCTTTTTCGTATACCGCGCGGCTAGAGCCATTCGACGCGGAACTTTCTCGCGATAAAAACGCTGCCTTGTTTAACTGCTCCGGGCTTTTAAATTTTATTCGACGCGAATCGCGCATCGTTCGGGCCGATTTCACGCGATACAGGATAGTTGTTGCTAATTAGACGACCTGCGAATTAAGGACATCGGTATCTCTAGCGTCCACGATACCGCGGCTGAGTCACGCGAATTAATTTCTTCTCTGAACGCGCTTCGCGGTTGCCGCCTCACCTGCATGTGGGTGACCGAATTAGTTATACAGATTTGAAAACTCATTCGCGCGTTAATCTATATTAATTCAGATTCGCAACAAGAACGAATAATGAAAATGTCATCGACGTGGCGCAACTTTACTTTGCAATTTGAATTTAACCAGTTTACCAGTTTCGACGAGTATAATCGTTCTAACAGAAAATGTTGCTGCTCCTCCATGACGGGTAAACACGTCGAAAACAACAAACTGGTTAAGAAGGGGCTGTGCTTTGATATTCCTGCTTAAATTATATATTATATAAAAATGTTGTATTTAAACAAAATATAAAGAAAATCAAATACATACAGCATAATTATGGTAACTTACACACTTTTCGAAGAGAATGCAACAGCGGATTGGTTAATTAAATAAAATCAATTAATTTTAAGCAATTTTTAATGTTGTTGTCACAGCAGCCACAATATTGAGCGGGCATCCGTCAAATTGTTTCAAGACAAGTCGTAAAGTTTGTTGTAAAATTTCGAAGAAACGTAAACTTAGTGTACGAAGATTTTTCGGAGCATTTATGTTACTATCTCCATTGTTTGTCTACGCCAAGTCAGAATCAAACACTTGCATTTCATATGTACAAGATATGAAAGAATTGCCGAACGCGCGAGAATTACCCAGAAGTATAATCGGTAAACTACGGATTTTATGGATTTATCGAAAAAATGGGTAGATGCAATTAAGAAAACAGTTGAAAGATCGAAACAACCTGAGAACGTTGACGTATTAATTCGAACTTGTAAAAAAGATTCAAGAAAGAAACGAAACGCGCGATCGTCTTCCGTGTGTTGCAAGACGATGTAATAATGTTCATTGTGCACAAAGAGTCCGCGAGTCTGGTAATTAGACCAACATTAACGATCTCTTGCTTCTAATCGAAGCTGTTGCGTCGGCCGGTGCACAAGGTGCAGAACTCGCGTCTTCGAGATCGGTAGCGAGAAGTCGTTTCAGCGACGCAGTTTCCCAAAAGGAGGATCGACAATAAATGTTTATGCGTGCAGATAATTCCGCTTAGTCTTCGCAGGGTTAATAAGAATCGGGCAATTAGACGGCCAAAAGGGAGAGAGCCCGGTCGCCGTGGTACAATTTTATGCGAAGATAACCAGGGGAACGAGCACGGCCGGCTATTTACCTCCGCGATACCCGCAGCCGCAGATATCCCTCAATCTAAATGTGCTGCATTCGTTTGCATCGACTAGCCGCGCAAAGAGCCTACCAAGGCAACATTTTTATCGTCCGTCCTGTCGGCTAGACTCGGTTCTTTGTGCGCGGTGAACGCCGGATGCCTGTTCCTCGGGTGAAATCGTTCCGCGAGCACGTGAAAACCGGCACGGCGAACACGTCGAACACGGCTGAAAAATCGATCATTTCTTTCGTGCGACGAGTCGCCGCGGCCGATCCGGTTCCCTGGAAGGTAAACGAGGAAACGCCGGTGTTCACAGAGGTGTGTATACCTGTGAACGTGCTCCCGAAACGATCCACCCGGGCACTGTTTAGGTAGAGCGGACGGCGAAACGGTGCGTTTTTAAAAGAGCCGAATCGTTTCGCGGCGCATGGCTCGCGTATAGGTTCTCCGGTTACCTACGCGTGTCCTTGGGAGGACTCGCCTCAGGTGAGCTGCCGGAGCGAGAAGTGAGAGAAGAAAAGAAAAAGACGAGCCGAACGAAGAAAGGGGACTCTCTCGACGCGAGCGAGCCGTCTTCTTCCGGCTCTGTATTGCGAACCGATCCTCGAGGATTCCTATTCTCGGCCCTGACAGCGAATTCGACGCGAGCCGGACGATTACTCGGTCTAACAGCGAGAAATCGCTGGAGCCTTTCATCAGTTTTTCCTAAACACTTCGGCGCTTCTTCCTGCCGTTCGAACAGAGCACCGACGTCTCAATGGCTTTGTTTTAATCGCTTGCGCTATCACAACGAGTCGGACCAAATACGAATGCAATTTCCACTAAATTCAAACAGAATTTGATCCTTCTGTTATGAAAAAAGCTAATATTTGGACAACTTTTTAAAATGGAATAACTTTCTACAAATTGGACGGAATGTCTGGCATTTTTTGGAGATGTTAGAGTCACTGCTTCACTGTACTTTTTGTTTTTAAATTTTGCCATTACTTGGAATGACGAAAGAAGTAAAAAGACCTAGCGCATTTTACCCACGTGAATTGGAGTCTTTCAAGAGTTTCTTAAATATAATCAGATTTGATAATGTGAAAATCATTTTGGAACGTGATACAACAGGTACTAGTGGTGCCTCAGAATTACCATTCGAGTACAAAGGGTTAATTTCTACGCGAAATTCTCTGAATCGCTTGCCGAATTTTACCCACTGTGTTTACTTGATTTAATCCTCCGTAACTCACTGTAACTTTCAAGTCACATACTGATTAATCAATGTTTACTCCTTTCATTTATAGCCACAATGTTGTGTCATTTCTCCACCATTAATTAACACTAAACCCACCAAACCGGTCAAAATGATCGTTTTCGCGTTTCCTCTGTTATAATTGTGGAAATTATAAAGACTCATTCCATAGATACGATTTCTTAATTCAAACATACATTACAATAAAAATGGAGAAATGTCAAGGGGTCGATCCAATCTTGTCATTCTTATAAAGCAACAATTTTAATGCGCAAGAAGGTTTTCCCTCGATCTTACTCCACGCATCGGAGTAAATTCATCTGTTATTAAAAATTGCAAATTCGTTGTTCCATTTATCTAAAAATTGCATTTCCACTTCCGTCTTAAAACCTTTCGTCTGCTACTGCGAACAGTTTAGCAACCGCGTGTTCGTAAATCGTTCGACCGAAAATCGCGAACGAAGCCAAGAGATCAAAGGAAACCGTGTCACAGCCTTACCTGTTTGGAGAAGACAGCGATGTCCTCGTTGAAGCTCTCAGACGAGCATACGTCTCCGCCGGCGACGCCAGGCTCGCGCGGCGTACACGTTGCGAGCTCGCACTTCTCGAAGATTAGCGCGAGAAGCGGGAATAGGGGATGTCTGTAACAAAAAGAACAATCGGACATGAAGGAATCGGGCAATTCAAACATCGATATCAAGTTTCACGGAGAAAAGTCAGAGGCTCCGCGAGTTCGTTAACTAAACTCGAGGCGCGGGAGTTCATCTTCGAAGTAGCTTATCCCGACGCGAGAGGACGCGTGATAAATTAATCCGGCAGTCGGCCGGCGATATCGTTGATTAAAACACGGTCAAAGACGCGGATGCACGGATGAGCGGAGGAAACTGCGAGTGCCAGCGAACGGGATCCGCTTGTTCGAAGAAGAAACGTGTCCTCCGCGGCCAGAGAAATAAATTGCCCGGCGTTATCCCCTTCGAGCAGCATTCTGTGGATTCTGAGCCTTTAATTGCCCGCCGATTAGAAGATACGCGAGATCCTCGAGATACCTCGCATCGGGAAATAAAGAGATACGCGGATATGGTTGAAGCGTACAGGCTGTTGCAGGTGTACGTTGAAACGTTTTAAGGGGGACGCGAAACGAAACTTGAAACGTCCTACGTCGACGCCAGCGTGTTCCGTCTCCTGCCGCTTCAACAACGTTTTAACCAGTTGCGAAGGCATGTGCTACCACTGTCTCGAAAACGTTCCCAGAAATAATACCTATTTTTAAACATCGACAATTTCACTGCCAGCATCCTCGAGCATTTTATACAATCTCAGTATTTTATTTAATTAAATTAACGGTGAAAACATCGTATCAATTACTTTTCCAACGTTATCACTTTTTATGGATCCTGCGAAAATTATGAAGATGTAATAAATTAGCGTGAACCATTGATTTTCAATCTCGAGACACTTTCATAGTAGACGAGTGAATAATTCAGCGATCAGACGTCTCGTGCGATCATGATATCATCGTGTAGCAATGCTCGT